GTAGTAAACAACCCTCTAAAGCCATCCTTACAGTAAACATTGTGATGGATTTTATGGGGATGTTTCTTATGATGCACCTCAATAAAGGTTGATGGCTTCTTACTAGAACATAATGCACTAAAAGGAATTTCACAGAGCACCAGTAAGATGGATGCAGTCCAGCGCCAACTGTGTGGTGGTCTGCTTAATCCAGGAGGATCTCGCGTAGGAGCGAGGGCATCAGAAAAATCTGCGAACCTGACAATTGATGTATGTGGGGAGTGGTGGGAGGGACTGTGTGCGATATAGGTGCATTTTTCTCTAGGGAGCTAGCTAATAGCTGATAGCTAATGCTTCGTCAGATCCTCGGGGGTGGGGCAGTCAAGAAATGGAAGAACTGAGCATGTTCCCTAGGGCAAGCTCTGTAAAAGGTTTTGAGGAACAGGGAGCTCAGGGTTATGGTTACTGAGGGGAAGAAGTTCTGTTAGCCAGGTCACTGCAGAGCAAATGTAGGGTGGATTTCCTTTTTAGAAAACTATGCTTTGTAAAGATTTTCACTAAGAGGTCCATTTGATAGGGCCAAAATCCTCTTCAGAAAGAAATTAGATATTGATTCTAACACGGAGGCAACATGGGCAATAATACAAATTATGTATAATTTTTCTAAAATCAACTAAAAATATATCATAAAGGAATGTTACATTTAAAAAACAACAGAGCAAAATTTAAAGACATAAACATTTGCTAACTTTGCCCCTAATCCTTGTTATTATTTGCAACTTAAACTAACCTTGATTTTATTTCCAGACCTGTGTAGACTCTTACTTTTTAATTCGCCCCAAATATATGTTGGTTATAGAGCCCTTCTGAAGCCAGCCAAAGCTCTGGGACCTCTCTGCCTTGTTCAGTATTAAAAGATTCTTGACTTATAGTGGACATTTTTCCTTCCACTGTGCCCAGGGGAGTGTCATTTGCCATCTGAGGCAGTTTGGTCTAATTAAGGGCTCCCCTTGTGTGCCCTTCGGCCTTCCAGTCGACTAGGAAGGTGTCTGGCTGCTTCTCATTCCTCCGATTGTACCTCATCACGAGGCAGCAGCACACACCCATATGAACAGTATGAAATTGGCATCACTGTTATTCTCCAGCGAAACGAGTTATTTCTTCTCCACTAAAACAAATCGGAAGAAAACGGAGAAAGGTTTCCCTTCCAGAACTAATCTCCAGCCGCTAGGTTAAGTCATGCTTTTATTTTAAAGCAATGACATTTTCCTCGGCCTCTGAAATTGTCTTCTGCTATTATAAACTGCTTTGACAAGAAAGTTTCTTAGGACAACTTCCTTTTAAAACTTGCATCTCCACTGGACAAAGCATTTTTTAAAAGATATCATCCAAATAGAAAACATCTGTTTTTGAAAGATAGTTTTAAAGTGCTTTCACCACATTCTCAAAGATAATTATTAGAGCATCCATCCCTGACTACAGAACTCCAAGTTTTAAAAAGTCATCTTCCTCCAGTTTCTCCATACCTGAACTTCATTGGGGTCAGCTCTTGAAGAAAGGGAGGTTTAGGTAGACAAAAAAGAGAGCTGTGTTGAGGTTATATTGAACAGAATCAAGAATATTCTTCCAGTGTCATGCAATAGGTTAATATTCTATTCTAGATTAAATTCAGTTCCTAGTACCATTTTTTAAATATAATTTTAGTGATTAATATATGAGGGAATTAGGAACCTTTATTTCTCATTTCTCTATTAAAAAAAAAGGTCATTAATTTAGAAGTACCCTGGCAATGATGTAACTGATGTCCTATGGTTTCTCTCCTCAAAAATGCACAATTCTATGCTCTTTACAAATTAAGGTATTTTAGTGGAGAAACTAACAGGAGTTAATTAGAAAGATCTTCATCTCAAGACTCCCCTCCTTGAAATTGCATATGCCTTTCATTCAGTCCGTCGTTCCTTTATCTTTACATTCAGTTACTTAACATACTTATTAAGCATCTATTGTAGTATGTGCCAGGCAGTGTTTTTAGTGATTGGACAAAAATCAAGAACAAAAGACAGAATCTCTTTCTTCCTAGAACTTCAAGTTTAGTCGGGAAAATAGACATTCAATAAATTAATTAAAAAATAGTACTGTACAACACAAAAAGTGAACCCTAATGTAAACTATGAACTTTAGTTAAAAATAACATAGCAAATATTGCTTCATCAATTGTAACAAATGCCCCCACAGGAATGCAAGATAATAAAGGAAACTGTGTGTTATGTTGGCATATGGGAACTCTGCAAAATTTTCTAACTGCTCTAAAAAATAAAGTATCTTAATTAAAAATAAAAATTTGTAAATAGCTATAAAAGATAAGCACTTTATAGGAAATAAACAGGATGCTATTAGAAAGAATAGTGGGGTGACATAATGTGAATCAGGGAATGAGGAAAGGCTTTCCTGGAGAAGTGCTGTTTAAGCCCAGAACTGGAGAAGCAGGAGCCCGCCAGGCAAAGAAGAGAAGGAAACACATTCTCAGTAAAGCAAAGTGATATTTGAGTTACCTTTGTAAATATTGTTCTGGTTTCTCTGTGGAAGATGGATTGTGGGGGTGGGGTGCAGAGGTAAGAGTACAAAGGAGACAAGTTGGGAGACACGTAGAAGGGACCACAGCTCTCCCTACCCACTCAAAGTACTAGAAGAACCGAGTGACAGGAGGATGTTTCTCTGGCTTGTGCCAGAATCAGTTAGGTCCTCCATGGGCTGGGTGCTAGGAAGAAAGGAGCTTGTCAGTGGCAGCAAGATGGGGTTCCCATGTCTCATTCCTAAGACTTTTTAGTGACTCAATGGGATTTATAGAATGAGGAAGTCTGTGTGTGTGTGTGTGTGTGTGTGTGTGTGTGTGTGTGTATGTGTGAGAGAGAGAGAGAGAGAGAGAGAGAGAGAGACAGACAGACAGACAGACAGACAGACAGACAGACAGACACTACAACCAGGTGAGAATTGTTAGGGAAAAAAGTCTTTAAGTGCTAACTACCCAGCTGTAACAACAGATTTTCATAGAAGTCTGTATAAGATTTAATTTGCAATAGTTATCTTTATTTCTGCTACTAGATTGTTGGAATTTATTTTGGTTTCTGTTTCTTTGAAGACTACATGTTTTAAAATTGTTGATCAATCAACGAAGAGGACACTTAAGAAAGGTCCATTTAGGCAGGGCGCTGTTTTAGTACATCAATACTGAACTGTTCATATCAGAGTTCTTAGGGATGCTAAATTCCCAAGGAAAACAATTCTAGTGGGTAAAAGGAAATGTCAGCCTATGATAGATTTCTATTGATTCTGGAACTGTTATTAGTAGCATGGAAGCTTAAATAGCTCAGTTTTATTTTCTTTTAAAATTAAGAAGCTCTGCAATTGTATAATCCACTTCATCATTTGTTTTACCTGCCTATGCGTATGTGCACTCGAGATTTCCAAGGCGTTAACTATTTTTATGCATTTTTACAGTAGAAAAATTGTATATGGTGTTTGGACATTCTATATAGAACATTTGCTTACACTGAAAAATCTTTAGCAAAGGAGCATGCATTTCATAGCACTTAGCTAATAGGATACAAAATGGTTAATGTGTCTATTTCACGCTATAGTTTTTGTTTTTTATATTCCTGGAAACACTGTCAAGAATCCCCCATTTAAGCAGACCTGTTGTTTATTTTAGGAAATAGAAGTGCACCATTAATGTAATTTTAAGTAGTTCAGTTGTGAATATGGGGTGAAGCGATAAAATAAAGTTTTCCACTGTGATGTCTCCATTAAGAAGCTCCTCTTTGTGTAAAATACTCCGTGGCAAAGTTGCTTCTATTTAAAGCAGTGAGTTTGATCTTGGCTTTGATCTAAAGCTTTTGATCTTGAAAGAAGGATAGAGTAGCAATAAAGAGAGGGCAAGGCAGATTTTCTTTAAAGAAATGCGATAAAGTTAAAGGGATGGTCAAGATCAGCAAACACGAGTGTGACCGGACTCTTCTCCCCAAGCGCTCACGCCCCAGTCTGATTCAGCCAACTTCTGATGCGGATGGGAAGAAAGCTTTTTGGGAGTCGGAGGAAAAACTTGGGACATCACACACTTTTATAAACTAAATGGAAAATTTCCCTTAATTATGAAGACAGATTGTATCGCTTTTAAATTCTCCCCAGTCGTTCTCAGGGTCCATTACCCAGGCTAGTGCTGTGCGGGCTGTGCTTAGCCAGAACGCAGTGGCTCCTGCGACGCGCCGGCAGAGCGCGGGGCTCACCTTTTACGCGCTCCCACCTTGCACCCCAGGGGTCACCTGCCACTGCCCCGAAGTTCGGAGGGGCCATTGGAAAACGTCTACTTAAACGTCTCATCTACTCCTGGAGAAAACTCCAGTAGAAAAGTTCCTTTCCTTCCGCGAAGGCCATCTGGACACTTAGATTTCTGACTGGAGGAGTGAGTTCAGGCTGGCCGCGGGGGTGAGGTCGCTTTTCCTGCTAGGCCCTTTCTCTTGCGGATGGGCAGTATTTCCCAAGGCAGCCAAGAAACCCTTTCGCTTGTACCCAGGGCCTGCGGGAGTAGGGGGCTGGAAAGGTAAGGCGTGCGCGCCCGTGTCGGTCCGCGCGTGTGAGGGCGCGGGAGCGCGGGCGCTGGCCGGTTTGGAGAGAGGACGAGAGATGTTTGCAAAGAGAACAATAAAATCGCTAGCGCGTTGGCGGGGGCGGGGGCGAAAGGGACCTGCAGAAAGCGCGGCGCGGCGCCTATACCTTTAAGGCAGGCCCCGCCCCAGCGCCCGCCCGCCGCCCGCGCTGCGCCTTAGGTGTTGCGGGCCCCGACCGCTTGCTGCTCTTCTCTGGGCTGGCCGGGCGGCGGGCCCTGGGCGCGGGCTCTGGCGCCCCCGCTCCCACTCTCACCTACGTCAGGCGAGGTACAGGGTCAGCGCGCCGAGGTGGTGGGGCGCAGGGAAGGGGGCTGGGGCGGCTCCCGGGATAAACTTGACTGTCCCCTTCTCCCGCAGCCGCTGCAGACTGAGCGCCAGGCCGGGGCGGAGTGCGGGCTCGCGCGGCAAGTGGGCGTAGAGGTGAGTGCGAGCGGCGTGGTCCTTGCGTTCCCCTCCCTTCCTCCCCGGGCTGTGGGTCCCGCGCCGCATCCCCTACGTGGAGCCCCCGTGCCCTCTGGGCGCCGACGCGCGGCAGCGGTGGGTAGGCTGGCCCTGGTTCGGGGGTTCCGGGGTGCACCGGCGCGGGGGTGGCAACCGGGTCCGGAGACTGGAGGGTGCGGCCCGGCGAAGGTCATGGCCTCCGCGCGCCGCAGACCCGAGCTCCCCCCAGCCCCTTGCGCGGAGGCGGCCCCGCGATCTCCGACAGGCGCCGGTGGCTTCCCCCAGGTGAGGTGGGAAGGTTGAATCAAGAGGCCGTCGAGCGTTTCTCACGCTGAGAGGCGGCCCCTAGGACCTGTAGTCCTGTTTAAAATGCTCTGTGGTTTTTGAACTTCAGGTCGAGAAATGGAGTCGAGTGAACCGGAGACCCCGAAAACGGAAACGAAGGGGGACCGAAGAAGTGTTTGAAAAGGTAAGGGTCCCTGAAAGACAGCACTCGGTGGAATTCATGATAAATCTCCTCGTCTGCCCCCGAGGACTTGGTCACAATAGGGTAGCATCCTTCGAAAAGTTTTAATTAAATTTACTGTAAATTGTAAATTTGCGTGGATAGTTCTATAGAAATACTGGCTGATAATCCTAATGATTATCAACATACTGTGTTTTCATGAAGTAAGAATGACTCGGGATGGAGATTCGTTTCATGATGATTAAGTAGAGCACCAGGATGTAAGTAGGTTCCATTATCATATTAGGCCAGTAGTATTTATTATGGCAATGTTAAGGTACCCCTAAAAGGGGGGGCCGTCTGAATAAATCACCTACAGTATTGGGTTTCTCTGTTTGGTTGTGACAGATAGAATACCATACTCACTCATTTAGACTTTAATCTCAAAAATGGAGAAAGAAGCTGAAAACAATGGATTACTTTGAAATGCTAGGAGGGAATTTATTTACTGTAAAGCAAATGAGAAATTTGTTTTCCAAAATTCAGAATTTTAGTGTTACTTGGCAGAAGTTTGCACTACCTATTTTCTCCTGACATTATATTACGTTAAAACTTGATTTGTCATTGTAATAAGTATTGTGAAAGAAGGTAAGTAGTCTGCTGTTTCCTAAGTGACTTTTATTGTAAACTGAAAAGCGAATAGTGTTTTTACAGTGTTACAGCAGATAAGATTTTTGTTGCTTTTTGAAATTATTTTAAGTACTGTTTTTTGATTCTTGATAGCACCAAGGGATTAAAATAGCGGTGTGTTGTTTTTCTGCTGCTAGGATGTATGATGAATCACTCCTGATTCTGAAGCCAAATTCTTGCTGATAGCATTGCTGCCAACTTCTGTGATGTGTTGCCTTAGTATGGGCATTGCAGTGACCGAGAGTGTGCACAAAGCACCTCATAATGAAGGTGATACCAAAGTTCCAGAGTGCATTTGAGGATACCCAGGGCAGCTTCTGAGAGAATTGGGAAAGGAACGGGCATAGGAGGATTGTCCTTTGTAGCGAGACATGCAGTATGGGAAAAGTGGTACCCCAGCTTTTCCCTTTTTTAAAAAAAGTCATACATGTCACTTCAGTTAAACGGTAACAGAAGAGTTGTAATTTTGAAGACTTGAGTTTTCTGACCATACCTCAGCATGGTATGGTAAGTTGTGTTTAACTTTCATGGTCTAGGTGTGTTTTAAAATGTTTGTGACGTGATGAGTGAGATCATAAAATGTCCAAAAAAGGAAAAAGAAATTATGTCTTGCTTAGTGTTTAAAAACAAAAAATTTTTTCTCGCTATTTTTTAAACCAAAAATAAGGTTATCCAAGTGCACAATGCATCAAGTGTTAAAGAAGGGAAAGCTGTTATCTTTGCAGATTACTAAGGACCATCACTACTAAAATCTGAGCTTGAAGTGACCATATCTGTGACACCCATGACCTGACCACTGCCTTCTCAGACTGAGAAGGGGTGGGTGGAGGACTGAGGATTTTACTTCCCGTGAAAAAGGGAGTTCTTCCCAGCCTTCTCCTCGAGAGAGACTGTTGCGGTAGAGCTTATGGGAAGGGCACACGTTAGCCTTTTCTTCTTAGAAAATAAGGGCAGCAGTCTTAAAGAGGATATGAAAATGAAGTAGGTTGGGACCAACATGCTGAACTTCCTTTCAAGGAATGGAGCTTAAAGCCGACTAGCTTTGAGGGTAGAGGTGGGGAGAGCAAGAAGATGGGAACTTTCGGATAATATTAATAATGACCAGCATCTCCAGGCTATCCTTCTGGCTCTCGGCAGCCGCCGAGTCTCTTGCCCACTGTTTGCCTCTGCTATGCCTAGGAGAGGGTTTGGAGCTCGCTGGGCAAAGCATGCCTTATTTTCAAGGGCAAGGTGAAAGGGGGTGGGTTGGGATGGGGGGTGCTCAGCGACCCAACAGCAGTGGAACAGATTCCGAAAGGCACCGAAGCTATGTTGCAGCTGGTTGCCCCAATGTCTGTTCCAAAATACAGATCGAATTCTGTGGTAATGAGTGTTGAAACCAAGGTCATATGTTACCTCTTGCTAGGATTTGAACCCACTTTTAGTAGGAATCTAGGTAGTTAACCTACTGTTTAATATGTTTTTTTAAAAACGTCTGCCATGCTACAAGTAGAAGTAAATTAGTCAATTTCTCCTTTTTCATGCATCCGCTGTATTTTCTACACCATTAAAACTGTGATATTTTCTGTTGGTATTCATTTTATATTGCTGTGAGTTAAGAAACTGGGTTTGAGTCATTTCTGGTAGGTGTACATTTTAAATCGAGCTGTTCCTGTATTTGCCTGCTTTGTTTCTTTGCCCTGCCTGGCCCCATGCAGCCCTTCCCTCCATCCCCCAGCCTCTGTCTGCATCTTCAGGCCTCAGGCAGGCGTCACCCTAGCTGAGTTAACTTGGCTAACTAGTCTGTATGCAACTCTGTTAGGGTCTTAACATTTTTTCTCCGATTTTTACTAACTTGTGGAAAGCCGTCTTCTGACCTGCCTGGAAGGGAGACAAAGGCCAGCGTCTAAAACAGGCACTGGGCGAGCAAGTGCATGTGAAGAATGTAATCCTAAAGGAGATACTGGTGTTTTTCCTTCAAGAAAACCTCCAAGGTGCTAAGTGGTGGGCACAGCCTGATGTAACTTGAAATACTGTACTAGTTGAGCTTTTCAGGGAACTCCAAAGGGGAAGCAAAACAAACTTACCCTGTGCTCAGCTGTGGGTTAAAATAACGAATAATGAAATAAAGTAAACTGGGTGAGTGAGAGGTACCACCCAGAGAAGTGATTTCCAATGCGCTCCTGGCCTTCTCTGGCCTGTTCCCCTGCATGGTGTCACCCGCCCACCCACCAGCTAGCTCTGCCGTCTCTGTGCTCACAGATTTCAGCTTTCTCTTATGCGTCTTCTAGCTTCCCTGACATTTATTTCCATTTTATTTTCATATTTTAGACCTTTTCCACTGGTATAACTATTCCTTTGTACTGTTTTTTCTTTCTTCCTTTTAAATGATGAAACTCATCTCTCTTTTGTTCCTGGTGCTGAGGTACTTTTCCTCTTATGTTCTAATATTCTTCCTTTTTCATTATTTGAGTTCTTTTTATTTAGCTTGAACAATTTGTGTAGCAGAAAAGCAAGGGGAACATGAACAACTACACAAAGAACAATTAGGATGAATGGCTCAGCCTGTTCTGCGAGGGCTGCTTAAACAATGGGGATTGCAGCAGTGAATTGTATCATGTGTATTTTTAAAAATAATGTTAATAGATTTTACTAAATGGCTGTTGGTTTTGGAAGACAAACACATTTTTTTCTGCTTTTTAAGTCAAAGATAAATATAAATTATCCATTGCATTCAAAGCTTAAGGAATAATGTAAGGTTTTAAAAAATATATATGTATGTAAAATAATACAAAGTTTTTAATCTTTTATCAGTATTTTAAGGATTAGGGATATACTGTAGAATAATATTTTATGAAATTGTATATTTGAGGAAAATATGTGAATGGTGTATGATTCTTTTAGAGGAAGAAAATTCCAATTTTCAGATTCAAAAGCACGTTTCCTACTTTATGCGTATCTGATAATATACGGAGAACAAATTTTAGAATACTCATTTCTGGTCATCAGTAAGTCTATCTGATGATGTCAGAAGTATTCATTGGTATACTTTCAAACATTGAAAATTCAACAGTACTAAGGTTGGCTGTTATTAACAAGCGTTCCTTTATGTGTGAGTTTGTTTCGAAGTGAGTGGTCTTGGTGAGGCTTAGGTTGTCTGGCCTTTGTTACGATTAGTCCTAAGGGACTAGGTGCAGGTGGTTTTCCAGCAAAAGCGCCCTTTAAGGTTACCTCAATTATGCTTTTCTACTAGAGTCTGAAAAACAATACTCTTGAACGTGAAATTGCTTAAAATTTGGTGAAATTTTCCTTGATATATTGAGTGAGACATAAAAGTCTAGAAAGATGGTTGTGAAAAAGTGAACTTTATAGTATTTAAATAGTGGCCATTTTAGTTGGACCCAAATGATAAACTCTGTTTTCTGTCTTTGAGAAAAAATATGCTGGAGCTATTTCCTTTGTGACAATATCCTTCCTAAATTCTGGAGCCGTTTCACTCAACTTTTATTTGTTCTTTCCACACACTTGATTCTGAACTGCAATCAATGATAATCTTAGTATGAATAATAACTCACAGATTTTAAAAATTGTATTGAAAACCCAACTTGGTTTATTCATTTTACCACATTTTTTGCTCCTTTTAAAATTTTGTTCATTCTGAGAGAATGTTTTTATTACAATTCTAATTTTGAAATATTCAACATGATCAAGGTAGGTAATAAATTTTAACTATTTAACAAAGTACTTTACTGCAGTTTGTCTTCTGTGGCAAAGGTGTGTTTTATATTTGGTTTATGTTTTCTGGAAAACAATATTTAAGACTAATAAAACTTATCTGGCTCTTTCTTGGCCATAACAGCAGATGCCGACTGTGTTAGGCGTGACTCCGGAGCCGTCAGGCTACAAAGCTTGGCAAAATGGCACAAGATGAATTTAGGGAGTGTTGAACCCAGGGTCCCTTCACCTTATAGGGACCACCCTTATAGTCCCTATAAGATGAAGGGATCCCACGGACAGCCGCTCTTACACAACTCAGGGCGTTCTTGTGTTGACTGGTTTCCCAGGCTTTGGTGCCCTTGCTTCTTTTAGAAAGTGCTCTTGCCCTGTGAGAATTCATAACTAGCCTACATTTATATAGCTGTAATCTCTTACAATAGCTTCATTGATACTTGATCTCCATAGAAAAGCTTTATGGATTCTAATGAGTCACAGCTCTTGAGGCACCAGCCACCCTCCCCTCTTGCACCCTCCCTGTCTGTGAGTGGCTTTGTGTCCTATGTTGTACTGATTGTGCCTTTGGATGACAACTTACTAGAGTGATGGGGGGAGGCAGAGTAATTTATTAAAAGTAATTA